TCATAATCGCATTTGGCTCACATTCCGGTACCAAGAAGTAGTTAAAAGGGTCAATGAACTGTCGCATTCGTGATTCTAGCTTGAAAGAATAATAAAACTAAGTCTTCCTATAAAAGGAAAAAATTGTTTCGTGAAAGCTTCACGGGAAGCTTGCCAAATATTAGAAACTTCCTGGCGCTGACTTAGCAACGGGGAAAATATGGCAACGATGTCTGAAAGACAGAGTTATGAGACACTTAGCTATTTCTGTCAATGGCGGACAAATGAATTCATTACTTTTACCTCCTAAATAAATATATGGGGTACAAGATCGCAAACATACCGTGAAGTAGACGAAAAGAACCATTCAGTACTGAAGTATTTTCAGTAAAAGGTATAAACTACTTATGTCGCTTTTTGTGACTATGTTTTGTTTTTTCTTGCATTGTTAGTAATCGCTACATTTCTCGATGAATGATTCTAAATATTTACGGTGTCGTATGAAGCTCCTATGAAGCGTCAACGACTGACGTCACTGTAATTAGCTGACCAATTAGATGTCCATATTGACCGTGAGTTAAGATTTGTGATTCGCACTTGGACAGGAAATCCCCCGGCACTAACCACCTTTATTAAACGAACGGACGTACATGCTAAACAGAACACAGTCTGATTGCTTCCAGTTATTAACTGAATAACATGTCCGGATTTGATCATAAGTTATATTTCCGCGTCGCTTTGCTTGCTTTGATTTTTCTCTTGGCCTCAGGTAAGCGAAGCTATGTCATTTTCATTATAATCATTCATGATGCTTCTAAAAGATCCCATCTCGAGGAGATCCCCATGTGACTTAAATGAAAATTAAAAACGACTTTCAGCAGCAGACTGACCTGAAGTGAATTGGCCGTCCAAAGTGAATATTCGGTAGTCACTCTTGTGCCCTTGTTATAATTATAGTAATAAATGCGCGTAAATTAGAGTATGAATTTTGTTTCTATAGGAATATGTGTTGATTTGGATCTTGGAGTGGGAAATGGAACAATTCCTGACAATGAAATAACTGCTTCTTCAGAGCAAAGTGCCAACACACCAGCCAAGAATGGTCGACTGAACTACTCATCAGGATCATCATGGTGTGCAGGAACAAGTGACACCAACCCATATCTACAAATTGACCTACAGACACTTCATATCATCTGCGCTGTGTCCACTCAAGGGAATTCTCAAGGAGATCATTGGGTGAAGAACTACAAACTACAATTATCAAAAGATGGTGAGAATTGGACGGACTATAAGGAAGGCGGAAAAGTTAAGGTATACGATGCGTTCTTTATTCAGAAAGTTTTCCGTAAGAACGGTAAGTTAACATGTAATGAGTTTTAGTATGGCATCAAATCTCCATAGCATGCAGGAATTCACTTCATTGTACAAACAGATGACAATACACTTGAATTGCTTGAGATACGAAAAAAATTCGCAATCCTTTTTCACCGCTGGAAAGCGGGTTTTAAGTCATTGTATTATATGGCTTACATGGTTTTCAGAAGCTGAACTCCTTTCCAAAATTTATCTTTCAAAGTGGCCACTCCTAAATTTTTATATAGTTTAGAAACAAACGATAGTGAATAATCAAGCTGAAGCTTGAGCAACTTAGAGACTGCTCTCATCCAGATGGGAGTATTACAATGTTATTACCCTGCTGATAGGGACCATTTTTATAAAATGGCAAGCTGAATTCTTTTTATTTTGTGAAAGAATGATGAGCCTACCTTGCCTCCGGTCATCCGCACGTTTAAAAGTTGTCTTTCATTCAAAAAGAAGGGTGAGATGGCTTACTTACATTCGACATACTAGGAAGAGTTTCATGATTATTCGTCTCCCATTTTCTTGTCAACAAGGAATGTGCTAATCGGAAATGGTTATCTTACTTTTTAAAGGTTTTACAAGGAAATAATGATGGAAACTCAAGTGTTAAGCATGTTGTTTATGGAGTGTTATCAAGATATTTGCGTTTCCTGCCACAAAATCACCAGGGCAGGGTGTGTATGAGAACAGAGGTGTTTGGAGCGAAACAAAAACCAAGTGAGTATGGAAGTAATCCGTAATGATGCATGTATATTATCAGACATCCCCTTAAATTGAAGGCCAGTCTAAGGTACTCTGCTTATCTTGAAACAAGTTTTTAAAATCCGCTGGCTGTGTTATTTTGGTGACATGTTCTTGTAACTTGGATTCAAGTGGCTAAAATAAGACACACCTCTGTTCATGAACTTATCAAAAACACCAAGCTGCTCATGAAAACCTTTTATACTTAGGCTCAATGTTGAATTCTGTGTCTATACTCACCTGGGAAACTTGATTCGCGTAGAAGGAAAATAGTTGATACGAGATTTCACTGAGTTTAAATCTATTGTTAGTGCTCAAACTCCATTTTGAACTTAAAACTTAAATCTTAGTTTGCATCTTGAATTAACTTTTGGTTTTAGTGTTTGACAGTATGTTGGTTTTTCTATGTAAGGTACATATAGCATCTTCCTTGCTTGTGCCATTGCATTGTCTTGCATTGTGGTTGTGTTGCTCATTATTATTTGTGGACTGATATTGCATCGGAGACGAGCTGTTCCTAGTGAAAGAAAAAAGCCTGAAGAGGAAGCTCCTTGTTCATATGCGGAACCTAAACCCACGCCTCCGAACGGACAGTGTCATGTGCCTAATGAGTACGAGTCCTTTGAGGAGGAAGCGGGGACCGCTGCCTATTACAATGTGACAATTCACGAAGAAAGCAATGAGAAACAAAATGAAGAAGTTTATGAGGAAATAAGTCAATTCTACAACTGATTTTTTTCATATTAACATAATAGGAGATAATAGTATTTTCGAGCGATCAAATATTTTCAGATACTAGAGTATGGATGGAATAATACGCTTGGGAAAGACTGTAATTGAGTAATTAAAGGTCATATAAGGAATAAAAATTATAACTAAGTGACGAAAATGTACATAAGGAACAAAATAGTTGTAGATTGTGGAATAAAATTTTTTGATAAGTTGTGTTTGACCCTGACTCACCGTCTCAGTTTTTTTAAAATTTTTTTTCCAATATTATTTTTTCTCTGTTCAAATTTCATCAAATTTTTTTACCTTTGATTTCAAAAACTTGACATCAACCACAAAACTGCATTCATTCAATGTATTGTTTGCTTCGGAGCTTCACCTGATAAATATTCACCGTCCATCAACTTATCATGTTTTAACAATGTCCAGCGCTGAGTACGCAGGATATTGACTTCATTTTCTTAGATATGGAACTTCGCAAGACCGGGGAGGGGTGAAATGTTCTCCATGGCCATCCTTCCCTTAGTAGCATTTCAATTTTTAAAGGCAGCTTTTTAAAAGTCTCTTGTGGTCTATAAGTCGACTTAAACAATAAGAGGTTATTAAGAACTCTCTTGCAGCTTAATAACTAATTCAACGAGCTAGTAAGACATTAAAAAATTATTGTACCGTAAAGAAGAGAACATTGCTTCTATAAATATAAGTTTGTACCGTTAAAATAAAAACATTTACTTAAATCATTAATTGCACATATGGAGACGTGGAAGAGTTTTCTCGCAAAAGTTTAATTTGATAGCCTCGTTAAATTTTAACTGCTCTCCCCTGTGTATAAGAACATGTTTCCTGACGCTTCAACACACTTCTTAGTGGCAAAGAAGCCACATCAACGTAAGCTGCTTATGAAAACAAACTGCTGCGAGCTTTAAACAGAAACTCGGCTGAATTATGCGGAAATATGAGTTACAGCGCAAGCTTGCTGGGAAGTATCAATTAATTCTTCCTCAGTCATTCGCTGCCATCTTGTTTAATACGGAACGATAATACCTGAACTGGGACTATGCTTGTTTCGCTGCCACCACGGACGATACTGCTATGCTAAGACGAAGTAAGATATGGAGTGAACAAAGACATCTTTCTTCCGATGAACTCTCTGTTCTAAACGGCTAGTCAAGCAAAACAATCGTGATAGCATTCCGTGACATCCTCGAATAGGCACCCCCTCCCCCTCCCTCCTTCCTTTCTTTCTTAGTTAAATGGTAGGGATACGAGAAAAACCTGTTTCTATTGCAACTTTACCGATAACTTTTAGAACTTCAATTACAGCTGATTCTGTACAGCCCCTCGATTGAGCGCTTTTCTTCCAATAAGCGCCCTTCCTTGAAGCTGTACCTGGGGTAATCATAATTTATTTCCTTGATTGTTTTCTCATTCTTTTACGGTATCATGTTTCATTACCTTGTTTTGTTGTTTGTTTGTTTTTGTTTTTGAATGGTATGCAGGATATATCAACTGTGCTGTGTAGCGAGATCTGTAGGAGCCATTATGCAGAGTGATTCGACTTGCAAGCCAACACTTTTTCTTCTTTTTTACGTTTGACGGGGTACTTTATTATCTTAGACATAGGACTTTGCATGCGCGTTTGATGCGAGCAGCACCGCCGTAGGAACCACGCGTATGACTTTTTAAACCGAACTTTTTACCTTATATGGAGAATATTGAGCAGGACCCAATTGTTCGAGGGGTAGATAATACTATCCAGTGGATAAGTCTCTATTTGGTAAATAGCGAATTAAGTTTTGTTATCACTTCTCCACTGGATGGCGGTTTATTTGTTAAGATGGAGTTATCCGCCCTTTATTATGACTTTAATATGACTATCCTTTAGCTTGTAACACTTCAAGATATTGCATTAGTCCTTAAGTCTGACTGTTCATCCCGTTCCCGCCTTTAAAATCACAGTTAGTCATAGAATACCAAGCTAGATCCAGTTTTTCAGTTGTTTTAGTACTACTTGTACCAAAGCAGTACTAGTATTGCTTGCTAAGTATTGTCACGGAAGTACACGAATTCAGAATAATTTAACTGAAAGATGCTGAAATATGAGCTACAGCCTACGGCATTCTGGGAAATATGAACAAACATAATTACTCGGCCAACGAAGTGACAGATTGTTTTGCTTGAACTGCGGACGATATTGCCACAAATCAAACAAAGCCAATTTTAAAGAGTGAGGAAACAAAGACATCTCTTTTCGGATAAGATTCCTGTCACAAAAGACCGGTCAAGCAAAACGATCGTGATACACGCATACCGTGACAAACTCAATCGAAACACATGGCGCAATTTTATCTTTGTTTCCGGGTAGCTTTTCTCGTTGTATTTCTTCCTTTGACCTCAGGTGAGCCCTATATCATTTCAGTTCTATAAGAAAGGTTTATTTTTATTTTTATTTTACAATTTACATTCAGATTTCTTTCAGTTTTGAGTTCTGTAGCCTCAGGCTTTCTCTCACGGTCGCGGCTTAATTGTCAATGTAGATAGGATCTATCGGAATTCGCCTATTTATTTATTTACTCTTTAAATATCATCTTTAAACGAATGGTACATTTTTAATCTATCCACTTTATATCAAGCTCAATTTGGAAGCATGGAGAAATAAACAAAAGTGAAATTAAACCATAAATTATGCAGCAAATAGAAAGACGGTTCTGAATCTGTCATGATTAAACGAAACTACAGGGTCGTGACATTTGTTTCAATTTCAGGCGAAATAACTTTTTGGAAATTAATTTCTGATATACAATTCAGTGGAAACATTTCCGTTTATTCTAAAACAAAGCTAGAGAGACTTCCATCAACGGCGGTACTATCCTAAAACAAAGCTAGAGAAATTTCCATCAACGGCGGTACTATCCTAAAACAAAGCTAGAGAAATTTCCATCAACGGCGGTACTATTCGTAAACAAAGATAGTTCCTGAGATAGTCTATAGTTTTTGACATTGTTTCTTTCATCAAAGAAATCTAAAGAACTGTATTCTTAATGAAGTATGGATGAATCAAAGTGGATTATGCCAATAATTGCCAATTTCCAGCATAAATCAGTTAACTCAGCTAGGGCAGTTGGATCGATCTGCCTGTACGTTCCTGTCTACCAGAAACTGTGCATCTACACCAAAAGTCTACTTCTCTTTGCTCTAAGTACAGTATAAAAACCCAATTCTCTCGTAAGTTTAATATGACAGTGTATCTACTTTTCTTAAAAAGTTGCTTCAATTACCCTTCAGTGCACCACAACAGTTTCTCTAGAAACTAAAATCTTTCCTTATTTTCTCTAAGATGGACACCTTCAGAAATGACATCCAATGTATTTCCATGCTGCAATTTGATCAGATCCACAGGCATGACTAGTCAACAGTCCTATTACACAGTCCAATTACAAGCATGACATGTACACTGTCCTATAAGTGCTCAAATACAGCTGGTAAAAACCAATCACATGTGAAAATGTTGTTATAGTTTTGATTGATATTTTTGTAATTAGGCCAGTCCTAACTGTTACTATCTGTGACATGGACCTTTTATTAGAGGTATTCAGTAGATAGATCAAAGGATTCATGTACTTCTCACATTCCACCATTATGCTCATGACAATAATTACTAAGACTTTGCCATGATGCAAAGGTAAATTTTGTTTCTGTAGGGGCCTGTGTTGATTTAGATCTTGGAATGGGAAGTGGAGCAATCTCAGACAGTGAGATAGCTGCCTCCTCTGAACAGAGTGCCAACACACCAGCCAGGAATGGTCGATTGAACTTTACATCAGGGTCATCATGGTGCGCAGGAACAAATGACACTAATCCATACCTACAGATTGATCTAAGGACACTTCATATCATCTGTGCTGTGTCCACCCAAGGGAATTCTCAAGCAGATCAGTGGGTGAAGACTTACACCCTACAATTATCCACAGATGGGATAACTTGGACAGACTATAAGGAATTAGGTGGACAGGCTAAGGTATGCCACATGGGCTGGTTGAGAATTATATTATATCTTTTCTCAGTCAGTGTCCCTGAGTTTTTATGATATGGACGAATTTATAACAAATTGGCCACTAAAGGAGTTATAGGTATGCAGACGATTATTTGTTTGTTGATTATTGTTTGTTGATTATTGTTTGTTGATTAATGTTTGTTGATTATTGATTCATTTATTTGATTATTTGTTCAAAAAGTATTCTCCTCATGCTCAGCAAATATCATAAATTTTGAGTAAATATTTTTCATTCATCAATTAATGATATTTTGCATGCCCAAATTAGTGGTCAAAGCTGCAGAAAGAGTACCAAGTAGAATTAGACTGGGAATCTAACAAATTGTTTTGAACTACGTCATTCAAACAAATATTTATGGTGTGAAATAGCTTGTCAAAGGAGTGCTGAACAAATGATGTAGAAATTAGATAGAGTTCACCTTTGAATCCATTGGTCAAATTATGATTTATTCGTGTATACTTAGTTACTCTGTCCATATGGACCTCTTCCATAAATGTTAGGCCTTATTCCTACACCTATATTTATATTTTTCTGTTTGTATGAAGATTAATTTAGCCACCTAGCCTGACCATTGTGACAACAGTAAAAGTATTTCTTGTCTTAGAACAAGACGTAAAGTAATGATGATTACTTTCAGCACGATGGAGTTAAAATTATAGTTACATTGTATAATCTACCTGGAACTCTTTGATGAGATATGATTATTTTCTAAGGCTTTAGAGGGAAATAAGGATAGAAACTCAAATGTCAAACACGTTCTATATGGAGTGTTAACAAGATATTTGCGATTCCTACCACAAACACACCTGGCTGAGGTGTGTATGAGAACAGAGGTGTTTGGAGTGCAACAGAAACCAAGTAAGTTTAAGAACTTTTGTGTGATCTGATCCTTGCATTTGTTAATCTATGAACAAAGGTTCCAAACCTAGTGGTTTGTTATTAACTGTTATTTGGAAAGTAGCTTTCATGATACAAACCACTCTTTGAGCACTTGAGGAAAATGAACCAGCTTATCACTTAAGCAATTCCAGGTGACTGGATGCACCAATTTCTGCTTCTTATATAGTGGTGGATAGTTTTATTGTCTAGGGTTACGAGCAGAGGATTGTAGGAAAAGTTCCAATCTACCACAAACTCCTTGGTAACATTGCATGGGTGCATAGAGTTCCTCAAAGTAAGAAAAGTCAGGAATCCATTCTGAGCAATCACTTTATATGACCAGCATAGCCCATTATTTTATGACAGCTGTTTGCAACATTCATTTTGCTATTTTGTAAACAGTTATGGCTTCATGACTTTTTTTCCATTCCTTTTTCCTGTATTTTTGTAATGATACTCTTCAGATTGTTTAGAAGTGTATTCAATTAATTACACTGAAAAACATCCATGCAATATGGCAAGATGTGAAGGTTAACTTTAAAATTGTTACCTTGCAGCATGTGATTCACAGGCAATTGGTTTGGCCAGCGGTGGTAGAATTCCAGATGACAGCTTCTCAGCCAGTTCAGAATTTAAAGCCAGATATGCAGCTAAATATGGTCGTCTTAATGGAACAGGGGCATGGGAACCTAAGACTACTACTGATCCTGATGACTACCTACAAATTGACCTTCTCTATGAGTATGTTATCTGTGCTGTTGCGACTCAAGGAAATCCACCAACCCAATCTGTAGGTGCTCAAGAATGGACCACAGAGTACAAACTAAGATTTTCTCTCCATGGTACTCCTTTTTTCCCTTATAAAGAAAATAAAATTGACAAGGTTGGTATGTCATGCTGTTATATACAATTATTCATAAGAGCCAAAATTAAAACCTGTGGTACAAAATTAAAGCTACTCACAAGAACAACAAATTTGCTCATATATATGTTATAGAATATCAACAATATCCACCAATGCTAACATTACTCACAATATAACTATGTTGCTTACAAACCATATTGACATTACTTTCAAGAATTAATAGTGACATTTTTTTATTAATTACATGTAAATGTACATGATCAATATGGAGTACACACATCCAAAAGCATATAGTCTATCAGTTAAATATGCACTTTCATAAGAGTATGAGTGTACAAAGATGTAGCAAACACTGACTAATTCTAACTATTCAATCATACTTTTTAAAAAAATTACCACAAAATGTAAAGATAGAGAATAAAATCGTTGCGATCTCTCTGACAGTCATTATCTAACCTGTGGTATTCCTCAAGGTACAATCCTTGGTCCTCTTCAAAAGACTTGCTGAATTATCTCAAGCTCTTTAGTTTTTAACCTATGATGTATGCAGACAATGGGCTGCACATTACAGCTAGATTCTCATGTTGTGTTCTTTTTCCAAGTTACAGATTTTTATTTTACAAATTACAGATTTTCACTGATTTGCAAATTGCAGATTTTAATTTGATCTAATTTCCCAAATAACAGTAAACTATTACCAATGCCAAGTTTCAATACATCACTATCACCTTTTGTATAACAGGCCTTTCCAGGAAATTCAGGAAAAACTGACACAGTGAAAAACAGTCTAAAGGAATTTGCAAGTGCAAAGTTTATACGCTTTCTGCCAACAAAGTACAATGTGTTCAAGGTTCTGAGGGTGGAGGCTTATGGAATACTTTTGACTAAAGGTATTTATTTGCTCTCATTTTTGTCCCCCTGGTACAAAATGAAGTCACAGTAAGTAAATATAAGGGAAATTAAGGCAGGATTGGGTAATTTACATTTATGAGGGCATTTTTATTGATGAATATCAAAAGTAAATGTCCGAGATGGCTGTGAAATGTTGTCAAATGTTATCAACTAAGTCATGAAGTCTAAATCATAAAGAACATCATGGGGAAAGTATGGTTAATGGACAAACAAAGTCATCACTCCAGGTGATCCTCCACAGTGCTATTAATCAATATAGACTGCCTATTAGGTTTACCATGGTGGTTAATGACATGTTCCTTTTTGAACTTCCCATCAATTATCATCTGTGAATTCAAGCATACATCTCTTGTTGTTAATACAGTTCCATCACAACCTCCCACCGCCTTCCAGTTGACTGCCAGCTCTTCTACCAGCATCACAGCTTCTTGGCAGTTACCACCAGTCTTTGCCAGACATGGAAACATTGCAGGGTTTAAATTGTTTTACAAAAAGAAAGGTTCTGCTGGGTCAGCAACAACCTTGACTATTAGCGATGGAGCAACATTAAATAGAACTGTCAGTGGGCTTAATAAGTACACAGAATATGAATTTCAAGTTTTGGCCTTCACTTCTGATGGTGATGGACCAAAAAGTTTAGCGAAAGTGAAAAGAACAATGGAAGATGGTATGTGAACCATATTTTCTGAATTTGGATCTTCATTACAGGTTTATTGGATACCAATCTCATAATGAGAAGGCTAAACAATTGAATAGTTTGGAATAAATTGATTACTTTAGTTTACCAAGCCACAACAGCATTTATATTCATGTGGCAAGTTAAGATGTGATAGAAGTTTTGAAAAATTTTTACAGCAAATAAAACTAATAGAAAACACTACTGCTTAATTGCAGCTCCTTCACAACCTCCATCTAACTTCAATGTCACTCCAACCTCCTCTACTGGTTTAAAAGCATCATGGCAACTACCACCAGCAAACTCCAGGAATGGAATAATTAAAGGATTCAAATTGTTTTACAAAAGGAAAGACTCGTCAGGCTCAGGCACCATTCTTTTTATCAACAGTGAATCAACTTTAAACAAAAGTGTCAATGGGCTTTATGAGTACACAGAGTATGAATTTCAAGTGTTGGCCTTTACTTCTGCTGGTGATGGCATAAACAGCTCTGTTGTTGTTGAGAGAACAAAAGAAGATGGTTAGAGTACCTTTTTGTTTTATCTTCTAAAAATGTTATGACTTTTTACTAAAAGGTTAGATACACTTACCCTTCTTATACAGTTTTCTGATGTGATGTGAAAAATGAAAATCTATAATTATGCAATATGCAATTTTAATAACCATGATTTAACATACTGTTATATCAGTGAGTCATTGAAGATAACTAATACAGTGTAAGAATTCTGATTGGCCATCAAATCATGACTATTTACTCATGAAATTACAAGCGTGCAATTGAATATTAACAGTTATGTTGGCTGTTGTTATTGGTTGCCTTCTTCTGGATTTAGACCTAGATGGTGTGCCCTCAGCTGCTTAACTGCGTTGCAAATTTATAAGAATTTTTTGGATTTGAGTCTGCCTTTTTTTTCTTCTTTCACTTGTTCCTGAATGGCATTAATATTAAAAAAACACACAAACACAAAAAATACGGCACTGATATTCTGATTCAAATTTGTGTTCCTCACTGGAAGAGGCATTCTACAAATAGGAGCAAAAATATAATCAGATTCTTTATATTAACCTCAAGACCACTGCCGAATATGGCATATTTTCAACATAAATTACCCACCTTATTGGTCGACAACACGTCAATTTATCTCGAACAGTGCAGATAGTTGAAATTAAGTAAGAAAAAGTTGAAATTAAATTGATTTACAAGAATTTCGCAAATGGCGGCTGGTCGGCAGAAAGTAACAACGTTTTAATTCAAAGTTTGAAGGAGAGTACTCGAAAAGGAAAAACCCATCAAGCACAAACAACTGGCTAAGAGTCTGGAAGACTTGGCTTTCCAGAATGGCTATGACAGAAGTATTAAAACATACGAACTGGACGCTCAGAACAAAACTCTCAGTTCGTAGTAAAGACGGAGAGATCATAAGAGTGATAGCGTTCGTTTACTGGTTGCTGCTATTAAGTAATTATTTGATTAAAAATAATAAGAAGATGACAATCATAATGACTCTGTTTATCGCTATGATTGTTATCATTTCTTATATAACCATATGCAACTTCTAAATTGCAGTTCCTTCACTGCCGCCTAGTGGCTTTACTTTAGCTGCAAGCACTTCTACAAGTATTACAGCATCCTGGCAGTTACCACCAAAAGACTCCAGAAATGGAATCATCACAGGATATAAATTGTTCTACAAAAAGAAAGGCTCATTAGGGCCAGCAAGCATGCAGCCCATTAACAGTCAAGCAAATCGCTCTCAAGAGGTCACTAGGCTTGATAAGTACACAGAATATGAGTTTCAAATATTGGCATTCACTTCTGTTGGGGATGGACCAAAAAGTACAGTTGTTTATGAGAAAACAAAGGAGGCGGGTAAGAAATAGGAATCTATCAATTTTTATAAAATTCAGAAGTTTATTTCAAACAGTCAATTTTTCAAAAAGTCGCCTTTTGGCGACCTTCAACTGTAAAATGGTCATACAAAAATTTGATCGCCTTTTCTCCCCTTCCCCCCGCTTACAAACATTGTGTTCCACTACCGTATATGATACGTGGTAGGTAGTGAGCCAAATGATGCGATATAACACTTTCATTCGCCAACTTTACTAGGTACGTTTTATCCCGTCATTAAAAGATTGTAAAAACGGTCAAGAAAGAGAGAATGAAGAAACTGTGATGTCTGGAAGCAGAACGATTCACCGAAAAGTTTCTGAGACCGAGTAACAAAATATTAATCGTGTTTGTAAATAAGATTTCGGTTTGCTTACTGCTCAGCCGAGAAATATTTATTTAAAGTGAAATGAAATATTTTATTTAAACCTTCCACATTGTAAATAACATCTTGAAGCACTTGATATTTAGTCACCATACTTCTTAATGCAAAGTTGAGGCTTAGGGCTAAGTGCTGCACGTAATATAAAAATATGCTTAGGGTTTAGTTAAGTTAAATTTATCTCAACGAGATCAATTCGACTTGGTTCTACACATTTCAGGTTTATGCATATTTGGGAGTAACTGAACGTTTTTCTTTCCCCCCTATTTTTTTGTTTTTGTTTTGGTCTGTCGGTCGTCAATTGGCGATTTTTGTCCAAAGTTTAGTCGCGAGATTTATTTTTCACTTGCCATGGCGACCAAAACAGTCCCAACTTGGAGCACTATGCCATGCTTGCAGAACTACAAATACACAATTTGCATTTCTTAACTCAGCGTCCCTATTTTAACACTTAATTGAATAGGGGTGCTCACTTAATAGGGGCGCTCATTAGAATAGGGGCGGTTATAAACAAAAATAACTTCGAGGGGTGCGGTTATTAAATAGGGAGTGCTTATTAGGATGAGGACGCTCAATCGAATCATTGCGATATATCTATTACATGTATTTTGAGACTATGATTGTGTAATTCTATTTCGCGTCAGATTAGCTTTTCACCCAAGAGTAGTTATATTATATTATTTTCCCTTTTTTATCAAATAGAGCCCAGTCATGGACCAGAAGATATATCTTCCTCTGCAGTGAGCTCCGCAAAATTCAATATAACTTGGCGTGGTCTGTCAAGAGAAGTAGCCAATGGCATTATCATAAACTACGAAGTTAGGCTCAGTGTAGTAGAAAACTGTACAGCGATCAAGTCTTCCTATAATTCAACCATTAACACGACCACCACTTATGTTATCGTGACTGGACTCTCTTTGTGTGCCAAGTACGAGGTGTCTGTTAGAGGATACACTGTTGTGGGGCCTGGACCCTACAGCAACCCTGTAATGGTGCAGACATTGGGTAAGGAAGTCTGTAGGCAGTTGTAATGAGGCAATTTTCAGGGAGGGAGTAGAACTGAAAGGTGGAAAAACTTGTGAGAAAGTGTGGGAAGCACTGAAAAAGTATGTGGGTTTCGAGCGAAGGCAAGTGATTAAAGATCTCTTTGAGTGTGTGATAAAAACATAAATGTAACCTCATCATTTTCCTCCAGAGTAAGAACTGATAAATATATATAAAGCAAAATGTTTTTCAAAGCCTTCTTTCACTTCTCTCCAGCTGCGGTTTGGTCTAAAGAAACGCCATCTTCACCTTCGTTTTCTGCAAAATCAAATGAAGGAGGAATTTCAGTTAAAGTCACGCTTCCACATTTTCCTGGAAATGCAAGGTACGATTGACTAAGCAACTTCACGCTAATTTTGGCTGTATTCTTATTTTACAATATTCAAGGGGTAACATAAAGTTCATTTTCTTTTTACGGTTATCGTCATGAGACATCTTGTGCATTGCTATGTGCTGATGCGGAAGAAATATAAGTAACAAATGATACTACAAGATACTGTTGACATAAAAAATATCGTGTGACGTACCTTGCAGGTTTTTCCAAGTTATCATCATTACATATAGCTCAAACTATACTGGTGCTGTAAACCCACCGGAAAGATTTACAACACAAGACATGATGACGTATGAAAAAGCGCACAAATCTGCAGTTCCTGCTGCTTATGTCGCTTTTCAGTTTAACGGAAGTGACTTCGATAAAAATCGAGAATTTGTTGTTGGAGACGAAACGGAATCCAGCAGTAAAGAAAGGAATAAGAGAAGTAGTGGTGATCACTTTTATTACAACAAACCTCTGCAGCTGAATACAAACTACAAAGTGTTCCTCAGGGCTTTTGTCTCCGAGGTACTCGAAAAAAACTTTTGTCATAAGAGAGGGATGTAGTATGAATTC